TATAAAGCAATATAGGCAATTACTTGTTAATAGTATAGCAAACAATGAAGAATTGACTAATAGAGCTAAACTAATAAATGTGTTATCATGATTAAATTTATTATAGTAAAAACTATATAGTATAAAATATTAAGTAATAAATTTGAAATATAGAAGATAAAATACAAAAATCCAATATAACGCACTTTCAAGTTTCCATGGCACAATTGGCTAGCGCGTCCAACTGTTAATGACGAAGTTGGTGGCTCAAGCCCACCTGGGAGCGAATCTATGTTTTTGCTCACACTAGTTAAATAAAATAATCTTAATAGTCATATATTTAGCTATTTAACTATTATAATATTTACATTTCAGTAAATTTAATATAATGATATTAATATTTAATTTCATGTAAAGAATGGTTTTATTAGTATATATGTATAAATCAGTTAAATCAAAAAATATCAAAACTATAGCTAAAATGAAAAAATATAGAGTAGGATATTGCAAAATCTAAGGTTTAGAGTCCTTCCACTGCCAAAGGTACCAAGAGACAATGGAGCGGTAAGGTTTCCAAACTTCGCAAGCAGCCTCCATATCTTGAGGTGAAATTAGGGCTTTACCTTTGGGTGTGAGTTTGAAATACTTGATAACTTGTTTCTTGATTGCTAAGTCACCAACTGGTAAGACATCGAGACGATGTAGAGTTCCCATTAAGAACATGTCAATAGTCCACTTTATGGAGAGAAGTTAAGTTATATAATTAATAATTAGAGGATTTTTTGCAAGTTACCTGTCCTATTCCCTTGACTGCAATTAGTTTCTTAGATACTTCTTCGTCAGAAAGTGAAAGAATAATCTTGTCACTAAGAGTACCATCATTAAAGTTCTTAGACAAGTCCAAAATATAGTTGGTTTTATTAGTAGATAAGCCTGATTTTTTCATCTTCTCATAATCTTGCTCTAAGATTTCTTTAGGAGTTGGGAATATGCCTTCATCATTGAAGAGTGCAACAAATCTATTGAGAATCGTAGCTGCTGCTTTTCCAGCGAGTTGCTAAAGTAGATATTTGTTAAATTTGAGGCATTAAACTAATAGTTTCTAATTACTTGGAAAATAATAGCTCTTGCTAAGGCCTTAAAAGTGAAGTTTTCTTCCTGATTCAAATCAGGTTCATTTAATAAGTAGCAAGCGGTTTCTGGATAGGCAAGTAAGGCTTTGAAATTGCTAAATGAAAAGATTAAAAAGATTGTACAAACTATGTACAATACTTACGGGTCTTTCTTTATTATAGCAGCGATAACAGGATGACTTTCGTCAATAAGAGCACCCTTCTTATCGCTAAACTGATTTTGAAGAGGTAACTCGCTAAGGTCGACCTTATTCTCCTTAACCTCTTTGCTAGCCTTTACCTTAACTACTTTCATTTTTTTAACTTTATTAGCGTTTTTCTCTTTTAAAACGGTAGTAGTATCGACAATGGTAGTAGTCGTAGACTTTAACTTTGTACCCAAAGCTTGCGATCTTGTAACTCTAGTAGTGACCATATTTATATAGATTTGCTTACTAATTAATTTTAAAATTTTGTTTAATCTAATTTGGACAAAAATAGAATAAAGCTTGGTGACAATTGAGTTTATTTTTGATAGCGTATAAGCAAATATTAAGTTGTGGGATAAAAAATAGCATATACCATTATTAATCTAATATAAACCTGTAATTTTAGAATCTATTCTAATTAATTTACAAACAAGTCAATTGAACGAAATTACTATAATAGGCAGTCATAAAATTGTTTCCTTATTTTCCAAACTGCAAATTAAATTAATGGTAAAAATTTGCCAATAGAAATATTCAATTTATAATCAATTAGTAATCATTTTATGGATCAAGTTTTTCGTTTCTTTATTTACTTATATTGCGCTATTTTTTCTTAGAAATTTCTTATGTTCAGTTTATTAAGATAGAAAAAGAAGAAGGGGGAATATTCTAAGTTTAGCTAAACTTATGAGAGATATAGAATTTATT